GAAAGAAGGCAGGAAAGAAATGCAATACATTGGTGGTGGGATCCTACACATGCTTATTCTGATGTTACTGGTGCCAAGTTTACTGGAACTTACATTCAGTTCATTTTGAATAGGACTGCAGCAAAAACTGGATACATCGAGCCCACTCATACCCACCAGGGTGCTCTGCCACAAGCATTCAGCAAGCACAGTACTGGACACTTAAAACTGAGTTTTGTGCTCTTGGAGTTGCTGAATTTGGCACAGGTATGGCAGATCAAAGCAACCACCCTTGGATGTAACTACTGTAATCAAATAATCATCAAAAGTGTTCCTGGGCCAACCGAAGCAGAACCTAGTCTCTCAACAGCCACTGCAATCTAAAGTATGATGCTAGGACAAGCCATCATACTGAACTACTCTGCCACTGATTACTTTAAAAATATGGTTTTTTTTTTTAATCTTGTAACTTAGGAGTGTATCAAATACATACAAAAAACTCTGTATGGTCTAACTTGCTTAAAGTCATATTTATCATCTTTTTTATTACAAGGCAGCACACAAAAATCCAATTTAAATCCCAGAATGCATTAGTCTGAAGCAGTATCATTATTCTAAAAGCCAGACCAGAAAAGGAGTAGCCTCTGGGTTCAAAGTAGAAAGGGGAATTTTCAGCCTATTATCAGCTACAATGATTTCTCCAATCAAAATTCTCCCTCCAGCAACACCTCTATAGACATCCCGCATGATTCAAATCAAGATTTACAAAGTTATAAATCTTTGGAATCAGATGCGGAAAACAATTATGAGGGTGAACAGGTTGAACATAACCTTTTGCACTCTGTTAGAACTGTGGTACCCTGATAAAATTCACAGGCGATATCGCTTTCTGGCACTAACCCGAACCTGTGACATCTTGAGCAGCAAAGGTAATGATTTCTGCAACAGAGGCCTGTGGGATTTTTGCAACCACATCTAAGAGCAAGACTATATTTTAATTTTCTCAGGCAGATGGCTTGGAGAAGGGACAGCCACTGACCTAATTTGCATGACATGAGAACCCACCATGGGCAGCCAGCTAAGTGAGTTGTTATATTGTCTGCACCTGGAGTGCTTTCCATGAGGTGGTTTGTTTTTGGAGAACAGACAACCCCCAGTCACAGTATGGTCATTTTTGCCCATCACAAGTTGCTGTGTTTTTCAAAGCAAAGAGACTGATTTTACTGAAGGTTGCAGCAATCGGCCACAGCAGCAAAATGCTCATGTTACTTTCTTTTCACACTCTCAAAGAAACCGCCTCTCCAGTTTGCTGAAATGTCACTTTGGAAGGAGCAGCACTTAAAAAAAAATCTGTGCCTCCAAAATGTACAATTGTGGTTGCAGTATTTTAAAATGTTTTTGTTGTCAGTCTTGTGCCAGTATGCTCTTAGAGCTATCTAATATGTAAAACCCTACACCATTGAAATGGCAGTCCTTCACTCTTTCAACACGTCCCTGAATCTCAAACTACCCCAGAGAAGGGAGAACTAAGCCTGACTTTCTGTGACTCTTTTTGGAGCAGTTACTGGGGAAGTCACTGCAGTTTCCTGAAAAATAAAAATAAATTCTATAAACCTACAGCGGAACAATTGATGCATGTACACAAAATTCGCCTCCATTATTTCCAAGTTCTTAAATTTGTGAACATTTATCCACAGGTACCCCCAGCCCTTAAATTCAAAAGCATTTCTGTGGGGTTTTTAGAACTGTTATGGAGTCACAGTTGTGAAAATTTCAAGAACGGTGAGGTTGAGCATGGCCTGCAAAGCATACCAGCCACTCACCCTCGCTGGGCTCAGCTGTCACAACAACCCACACCCAGCGAGGGTAGTTTTTCTAATTGTGATCAGTTTGTGTGGGGATTAGTTTTGCTCCAGGATCATGTGTGCATGCTCTCTAAATACATGCACAGAGGGGCATTCCCACCCTTGAAAAGTCCATATAATCTAGGCCAGTGGTGGCGAACCTATGGCATGCATGCCACAGTAGGCACGCAGAACCCTCTCTGCGGGCACGTGAGCCAAGTCGCGCCAGCATCACTCCAGCAGCCGAGCATCGAATAACAGCGCACATAGAGACCATGGGCATGCTCGGAAAGGAGTCGTGGAGCCAGGAGATGGCTGATCAGTGCGCTGCCAAGGATTGCTTCGACTGGCTGTGAGGTTTTTTTAAATTTAAACTGAAACTTCAGTTTTCAGGTTTCATTGTAGTGTTGGCACTTCACGATAAACAGGTGGGTTTTGGGTTGCAGTTTGGGCACTCTGTCACTAAATGGTTCACCATCACTGGGTTAGGGTTACAAAACTGAGGGGTCCTGGTATGATTTTGATGCTTGGAATGAGTATAGAATGGGCTGAAATGATGAGCTGGGCAGAAAAAGCTACTCAAGAAAGGCTTTTCCAGAATTGTCCTATTCTCAATTGTATTTTACCCCTCTATACGGGTCAGGGGAGTGCACCAGGGTAGGGTTAGGGTTAGAAAAATGAGGTGTCCTGACACAGTTTTGATGGTTGGAATGTGTTTGGAATGGGCAGAAACGATGAGCTGTGCAGAAAAAGCTACTCAAGGAAGGCTTTTTCAAAACCCTCCTATTTTCAATGGAACTTTAGTTCTATATTAGGGTTAGGGCTGTGCACCAGGATAGGGTTAGGGTTAGGCGCTCCTAGACGCTGCCAAGGATATCTATATGTGTGTGTTTGTGTATTTGGTTTGACTGGCTGTGAGGTTTTTTTTTCTATAATAAAACCTCAGTTTCCAGGTTTTATTGCAGTGTTGGCGCTTTGCGATAAATAAGTGGGGTTTGGGTTGCAGTTTGGGCACTCGGTCTCTAAAAGGTTCGCCATCATTTATTTAGGCTATTTTCCTCTCACCAGGAATCTTAAGGCGGGTTACATGGACCGCCTGCTCTCCATTTGTGTTCTTCACAACAACCCTGTGACATACGTGAGGGTGAGAGTCAATGAGTGGCCAAAAGTCACCCAGTAAACGAAATGGCCAAATGGAGGCGAGAATCAAGATTCCCAAGCTTCAGTTGAAAACTCTAATGACAATACCATAGTTTCTCTCTCCCTCTCTGTATATTTGGATATATTAGACTGAAACAGAGAGATTCAGCAAGTCAGAAGTGGCCTCCTGGGCCATCTAGTCTGACTCCCGGCTTCAGGTGGCTCCACTCATGACATGCCTGCCATGTGCATATCGCTATAGATATAAAAACAGATATTTTTAACAGGAGAGCCAGTGTGGTGCAGTGGTTAAGAGCGTGGGACTGGGACTCAGACGATCTGGGTTCTAGTCCCCGCTCAGCCATGGAGCCAACTGGGTGACTTTGGGGCAGTCACAGACTCTCAGCTCAACCTACCTCACAGGGCTGTTGTTGTGGGGATAAGATGGAGGAGGAGAATGATGTAAGCTGCCTTGAGCCCTTTGTAGGAAAAAGGCAGGATATAAATCGAAAAATAAATAAATAAGTAAATATTAATATCAATATGCAAACTGAATGAGGAATCCTTACAAGTAGATTAATGCCAACACTGCATTTGCCAATTTAGCCTATATATCACAGAATGATTTGCAGGTTTCTGAAACAGGACACATATCTACACTTACCCTTGAGAAAAAGTGTGCCTATGGGGGGAAGGGACATCCATCTCCCTATATATACTCTGATTTCACCATGCTGTGCTTATTAAAATGGAAAGATTTGATAGTGGCATACAAATCGTTTCAGTGTACAATGTTGCCCTGCCATATCAGGAGAGTGCTTTATGACTATTGCATGAATGCAGGTAGAACAGCTTTGTTTTATTTTTAAAGATATCTTCTAACCAGCATATTTTATTTGCATCTGTTAAATATTTCCTGAAGAATGCAATTACATTATATTGTGAATTACATTTAGAAATCATTTCTATTTTTGCAAGAATCTGACAGGTTTATTTTTCATCAGTGTTTGGAGATGGGAGTTTTTGGCATGCAAAGAAAAGTGAGACAAATACAGAAAAAAGCTTCCTCAGTGAAGTAATTCAAGCCTTTAGAAGTAAGATTTGAGCACATTTTTCCCATGGCATGGATCAAATTGATTCCCCAAGTCCTTGAATCTACCACATTTATTACCTGTATTTTCAGTGAGAGACTGTTTCTATTTGGAAGGAGAGAAACAGCAGACAAACCTAAAACCTAAGAAAGGATAATAAGCAGGATCTGTGAGAAGACCACACACTTTCTGCATCAGAACCACATCAGCAGCTACAAGCATCACTTTCATGACACAGCACATACACAGAGTCAGGTCCAGATTTAGCTGTACTTAAAGTTGACTGACGGAAATAATGGCATTTAAGTCAAGACTAAATTAAGTCCTACTGATTTCACTGAGTCTATGCTGAGAGGACTAAGTCTGGATTGAGATGAATCTCAAGTTTTTAAAAGGTATTGGGGGAGTAGGCTCCTTCACTGCTGGTTTAATGAAATCTACAAGCCCACCCCTGACTCCATTGATGTTAATGAAATGATACCCCCAGAGCCTTCCAAAACAGTAGCTGGGGACGCATCCCTTTCCTCCTTCCAGTATCCTGTAATTCAAGCATTAGTGACCCTCTGAAATATCATGTCTTCACACACATTCTTGAATTCATCACCAGTATTTAGACCATTGCATTTGTCAACACCATCCACTTCAGAGGTCTAATAGTGGCATGAGCTGGGATGGGAGAGAGGAATCCAGCTAAATCAAACCTTTTCATTAATTACATTTGGGGGTTAAAAATAAAGAAAGGATTGTGAAACTTTTAAAACAGATTCAGTACTATCAATGCACCAACTACTTACAGATGAGGGAGGCAGGGAGAATGAGAGTGAGAGCGAAGCAGCTAATAATTATGATACTCCTAAGGTTGGGAAAATGTACTACTTCGACACTATAATTTTGCCTGTGAAGTGAAAGCTTCCCAGAACTAAAGGAGAAGGCATGCTGACAGTACCTCACTGCATTTGCTTATTCGCCTTGCCACAATGAGCTGGATCATTCCACGTTTGTTTCCCTCCGTGGACATGGACCTGCGCAGGGTTTCCATGGCATCTTGGTTGGTCTTGCCTAGTAACGATTCCCCATTTACTGCTATTAGTTGATCATTCACTCGGAGTCTTCCATCCTGGCAAGGGAAAGCATTGGCAATAGTTAAGAATAAAGGATGTTTGGGCATCTTTTGTCAGGGGAGATTTTTTTTAATCCCCAAGGGCTCATGGTTAAGTGAGCACAAATATAATGGCTTTTGAAGAAATCATTTGTAGATGTATCTTTTCAAGTCATTTACATATTTGAACTTCATGTCATTACCATAATCTGTTAATGTAAACAGCATCGTAAGAAATGCATAGTGACAGTTGATCTCGTTTCCTTCTTGAATCTTTGGATGAAATCCCTGAACCAAACCAGTTAAAAGTTTGGGATCTTTTCCTTCATGCTTGCAGTGGTTAGCAATGGAGCTCCTACATGTGTCTAAAATGCAAAATTTGCAAGGAGTCCCTGGTCACTTGGAGCCGCTCTACCCAAGAGTGTTCCCCTTAGTCTGAAATGGTCTTTTTTTAACTGGATGTCTTCTATGGTTTGGAAACATGGAACAAAGACACACACAGATATTTCATTCTGCTTTGCAAAGCCCTGCAGTGTAGGATACTGTGCTTACTTGACTTCCATGCATCCTGCAGTCTTCCTCATAGCATAACCTTCCTTTCTTGACTATAAATAAGGTCAGCTGTGAAACTAGTTCTGGTTGTGGCCACTCTGTGGCTCAGGCAGGTCACACTGCTATCTAAACATCTCCCAGAATACCACATCTAAGACTGTAAGTATTTCTTCTCTGGGAGCCAGGGAAGAACTAGAGATCTTGCTAAGGGACAGGGTTGGTAGGCTGCTTGCTTCATCAGAGATGGCAGACCTGCATGCTTCAGTTGATGAAGAGCTTGGGCAGGCAAAATTTTGCATTAATCCTGTGAGCAGCTGGTTGCTGCCATGTGTGTGGAATACTGGAACTTTGGTCTGATCCAGCATAGCACTTCTGTGTTTCTGAAAGGCACACTGAGCACATCATCGTTCTGCTGGATATTTTAGGGGTTCTGAGAATGGACACCTTTATATTTTATACATAAAATAGAGAATTGCTTCATTTGTGTCCTGCTTACTAATTGTTAGTCAATATGGAGAACTGCATATGATTCACTAGCACCACCACCAACATCATAAAATAAGAGCATTGCAAAGAAACTTTTCAAAGGGAAAACAGAAAGGCAAGGAAGATTCACTACAGAAAATCAATACAGGATTGCCTAATAGACACTGGTGATAAAAATTTATCAGAGACTTTGAGAATGTAGACACGTTTTCCACTTGCCTTAGAAGCTGCTCCACCATTAATAATGGACTTGACAAAGATGCCTAGGTCTGCATGGTTCTCTTTTGACCGGTTACCTTTCACACTAACACCAAGCCCAGCTGATCCCGAATCATTAAGGGGAACTTCAAAAGTGAGGAATTCCCTGGTGCCATCAGGCGTAAGGACAAGATCTTCTTCTTCTGCTTTCTGTCAGGAAAAGATTAATCCATGGCCTTATTTTAAAATCAGTTTTTGTTTGTCATTATGCTCTAGTTATAACTATTACACTTTTTCTGTGTGTTTTAAGAAAACCATACTGGAAGTACAATATGAAAATAATTTCTATGGGTATTCCATAGAAATCTGTGATAACAGCATGTCTGGAACTGCCTACAAATAATATTAGAACCAGATATTGTGAATTTGCATGTGTGTATATGGGGGAGGGGGAGGGGGAGGGGAAATCGAAAGGGGGGAATATATACATATCTAAGTGTAGCACTTTCTGAATTAATGCAAACTTCAACCACTCAGTTTCCAAATAGGAAACTATTACTGGGAGCTTTAAAATCAACATGCTTTATGTTAGACGTTCATTTGTCTATTCAAATTATGGTACTTCAATATTTATGTATTCTGAGAAATAAGAACAATACAAACAATGGATAAATGGATAAACACCCATTAGTATTTCCTTTATAGTCAGGATTATTCATTGTGTTCAAAGAAACAATATGTAAAACATTTCAGGTAAAGGTTGTAAGGCTCCTTGCTTTTGGGTGCCAAAACACTCATTGGGGCACATCTGTGCACATCTGCCCACCTTTTGTTCCCCTCAATACACTGCCTAAACTCCAAGTAAATAGAAATGAATATACCTAACATGCAAACTGAACAGACATATTCCCAATGGACTCTGGTGGTTGTTGGGAATTCACTCCCCTAACCAAGGAGGGAGACAAGAGGGCAGAACCAGCCATGACAGTGTTAACTGCAGCTAGTGGGAGGAGAAAGAGTACAGCAACATTGGCGGCACCTGTCCTGCTAGATGCACTTTGTCTGCCAAAAGCAAATCCCTTCAGAAGACAGAAAAGATGGCTTAAGAAACGTAACAGTATGAAGGGTGCACTTGCACCACTGAGCCCATCCCACGTAGAGCAGAAGGAGTGGCAGGGGGGTCACTTCCTTGATGCCCTCTTGTGCTGCATTTTTGCTGCATGGCCACCTAGCTGGAGCACTTTGGAAGGGAAGGAAAAGGGACTAAGGAGAATACAGGATACTTCACACCTTGGACTCAAGCATTCTTCTCCCCTCCTCCCATAGTGTTTCCCTTTTCTCTGCCTGGGGCTCCAGTTCCCAGCCTCAGAGAGGCAGCCACCTTGTTGCATGGTTCCAAGGAGAGGAAGGGAACAGACTGCAAATTCCCAGTTCTGAGGCTGGAATGCTGTTCCAAAGTATCCTATGGCCCTCCAGACAATGTCCAGGAGGCCACAGGATCCCTCCTCAAGAGCATAACTGGAGAACTCATCCCTCCTCCTAAAAATATACTTCCATAAGATTTCTAAATTTATTCATCATGTTGGCTGTGCCTTATTATACTGCATTAATTTTTATCTGTCATCTAGTTCCTAAAAGCGTGACTCTGTCAGTGCACTTCCTGAGTCAAGAAGCGCAAGTTACCAGAATCTCTAGTGAGCAGTATGCATGCTGGCAAGCAGTGATTTTCCAATGGGAGGCACTTCCTGAGGCAACTCTCTATGGGCAAATTAACAATAATCAAAGCCTGTCTAGAACATCAGTGCTTTCTACACCCACTCTGACTTCTGTCGAGAAATTATTACATCTTCAGTCCTTCTCTGAAAACTGGATATATTTGTAGTACATAACAGAATGTTTTTTATTTAGATTTCAATAGCTCAGATTGGTTTTCAATATCTCCATATCTCAATTTACCTTTGGCATAGTACACATTGACTTCCCTAAAGCTATACAATCACCTACACTGCTGAGCAAAAATATGAACCTGTCATCTCTCCCCCCGCCCCCCCCCGTGTGTGTGGTGGGGAGGGGAGCACCAAACCCGAAGTTTTACATTTCATTAGAGGCGGGACTCACCCTTAAATTGAACTTTGCATTACAAAAACAACATTTAATTTTCATCATACTTGTTTATGTGCCTGTATTTCTCCTGCCTTCTCTTTCCTTGTAAAAACAAGAGGAGGAAAGATCAACCTGGAATTGTTGTCTAACTGTTGGGTACCCCCTCCTGTTTTGTGATCCCTACAGGCAAACATGGGAAGCTGGTAGTAAGATCAAGGTGAGGAAGACCTTGGGCAACTAAGCAGTTTCCTCTGCAGTTCAATTTGTTCTTCACTGATACTGGCAAGCACATAGAGTTCTTTGGTGGAAGGTACTCAGTATGGTTTATTAGTAGCATCCTTTTTATTCAACTTCACCAAACTACCATGCAGGTACTCTTAAGTATCCAGAGTGATACTTTGACAACTTTCTAAGAAACATGTGAAGAATACCATGATCTGAAGTTCTGAAGAAAAGTTAATGTATTCTGAATCCAGAAGCTAAGCAGACTTTCCTAAATAATAGGAATGCAGCTCAGTTACTAGTAACATCACCTTGATTTAAATGAAGTATTTATACTTAAGTCATTTTCTACCATAAGAAGGGCATTTATACCACAATCAGAGGTCAAAGAAGCCTTTGAGATACCCAACAGAACATTTTGTATGACTGACTCAACCATGGTTGCAGGCTGTAAGTCCACCTCCTCCATGAAAACACTCTCCAACCTTCCCACGTCGGGGACTGTACAGTATTAATAGCTATTTCAATTCAAACACTGAGCACAGGATCCACATCAACTTAACCATCAACTTAATCAAGGTTAACCATGGGTCAGTGCCATGCAGTGCCAGCATCAAGGGTATGGTAGGCACCTTATGAGGACCCAGCACCCAGTAGGGATCCACTGGCAAGAGCTTGTCCAGCGTTGCAACCTGGATGTTCACTTGCTTCTGTTCACTCTGGCCCTGCTCGCTCTGGTGCCGAGCAGGAGGAGCAACAGAGGCCAGTTCCCACTGGCTTTCTGCCTTTCAAGAAAGCAAGAGGTAAGAATGAGGAGAAAAAGGATGAGGAGCAACGGCAACTGGTGGCAGTGGTGATGAGACAGTACATTTAGTGAGGGAGACATGCCTGTTTGAGTCTCTCTTACCCAGTGGCTCTAAAAAAACCCATGAAAGGCCCTGACTGTTGGTACAAATGTAATGCTGCATCATGGTTAATGCTACGAAGAGAACAAGGAAAAGGAATACATAGGCATGCTTCCAATCTCTTAACCATGGATAGGAAACAGAGAAAACTGCATGCATACATGCCTAGGAATGACAAGCTGGGCAACTACAGTGGCCCAAAGAGGGTTAGATTTTGTTTTTCTTTTTAATACAATATTATTCTGAAAACTTAAAAAAGGTAATCCAATACTTTATTATTAGAAATTTCAAATATGGAGGGTGTCATCAAAAGTGGCTTCCTGCAACCCTCTTACCCACCTCACAAAAGCCATAGATGGCTGATTTTGGCTCCCTGTGTCTCTTGCCTCTGCTTTCAAGGAGCAGCAGCTCAGGTGCTGCTGGGACTTTCACTCCTCCCCTCCCTGCCCCATGGAACACCCCAAATATACATGAGCCTTGAAATCATATCCAGAACTTGCACTGTAAAAAGAACCTGCTCTGACTGTGAGAGCAGAGGAAGAGCGTTCCATGTTCCACGTCCCAATTCTGACCTCAGATCTCATTTCTGGGACCCTGGCCTACCCTATGGCTGTCTAGACAGGGCGCTTAGTATTTCTAATTATAAAAGGAAAATCACAGGCAACAGTGGAAGTGACGCTAATGTCACATTGCAGCCATCTTCACCAGCCTAGAGTTCTCCAGATGTTCTCCTAAAACTCCCAGGATTCCTGACCACTGACCCTGCTGGCTGGAGTTAAATGGAATGAAGTGCAAAATATGTGCAGGGAACCAAGCTGGGTAAGTTTGCATTACAGTAATAAAGTACAGGGAACTTTGGCTATTGGGTGCTATAGAAATGAAACTGATGAAGATGAATTCTGGGGACAAAACTCATTTGCAGAGCAAAGAGGTTATAACTGTAAAGTTTCCAGTTCAGTCCTTCATAACTCCAGCCTGAAAAATATCTCAGGAGGCGGAGCTGGGAAAGACTTTTGCTTTAGACCCCAGAGAAGTCCTGCCACTGAACAGGCAACACTGGTCTAGACTCCAGACAGATGATCTATAAGGTAGTTGTTTCTTAAAGATCCGAACAATGTGCTCAATAGGTATACACAACTGTCAGCATTTTCCTCTAAGCACTCTAAAGAACTGGGGCTGAATCACATAAAATGGGGAGAGGGGGAGAGGAGAGAGATGCTTATTTTTTAAAGGATGAAAAACTGACGTGGTTAAGCCCTGTTCCCCAATATTTAAGGTACCAGATAAGCTGAACCTAAATACCAAGAGCCCAAATCATAGCTTGAAAGTGCAGGAGAAAGATATGTAAAATGTGGCATTTAAAAACCGAAAATAAAAAATGTAACACAATCACTGACTAATTGCAATAACTTCCATTTGATCTTCATATGCTCCAAATTAACAACTTCAGCATGTCAATCAAAGTACCTCAACATTATTTTCATGATTAGTTGATCTGTGGAAGGAATTTATTGCTTCGTATACCTTGACACCACAAGAAATAAAAACACCAAAGTCAATTTATGTACTGCAATGCCTGAACAACAAGACTGAACTCCCTCAAGAGTTCTTGCATACCATGTCCAAAACAATTAGCAGCTCCACAATACTCTGTTCAGAGCTGCTGTACTGAAGAAAAGGTCACCTGAAATGACTTCAGATGGATGAATGAAGCTGCTCAAGTATGTAATTTGCAATAAAAATTCGATGGGTGATAAACTGCATAGGTGACTTCTTTGCCTCAAATTCAAATCTAGCCTCAGTGACATGAGCCCCCAGGGGAGGGGTGGGGTGGGGTGGGGTGGGGAGAACAGGGGCAGACTTCTGCTTCTACCACCCCAATCCAGCCCACCTGATAACTTCAAAATATTTTAGCATTCACTGCTTGTTAGCCTTGGCTGTCATAATCCTCTCCGTTTTATTAGCCTCACCTCTCCTTTC